TCAGGCCAAACCGGTCCAGTGAAAGCAGATCTGTGAGGAGATGGAGCTCAGATAATCAGAGATGAATTGGGAATGTTGACCAGAGAAATTTCTTCCACTCTAGTTCTCTCAACAGAGTGACACTCTCCCCTCCATAGCCACTGTTTAGAGGCCCACCAGTTACTGACTGAGGCCAGATTTCAGGACAGGACAGGGGTTTTAAAGGGGGACTAAGTCAAAACTAAAGCAGATGTGTGTGGATTTTAGAAGCCAGAGCATTGAGGGTCTTTAAGTGCAGAAAGTTGCCATAAAGTGCAACAGTGCAAAGCAGCATGAAAGCGATCGCCACGCATGACATTTAACACGGAAATGTGGATCTCATGGGATTGGGTTTGTTTCACGGCTTCCTTTTTTTTCCCTTTGATTCTTTTTCACTCAGTCTAGGATGGATACAGGAAGATAAATTAATGCAGTCAATGATCCCATCAAATAACATCTAAAAAGGATCAGGATTTTCTTTGATCAGGAAGATTTCCGACCCTGGAATATTCATGCACACATGCCCCCCACCCCCACCTCAGTGGGCTGATTCGCTCTTTCTCTGGATGTGAATCCGCAGCCATGCGTGATCCAATTAGTATGATGAGCACAGGGTGTAGAGCGAGGCTAATGTTTGCATGTCCAGGAGAGTAAATGGATTCTTAGAATGGATTTCCAGCTCCCTTGAGTCTTAGCGGTTTGTGGCCTCTCTGCAGGAACTATTGGCATAGTTAAACCACTGTGTAACTCTATGGCCAATCCTCCTGCTTGGCTCTATCGTTATCCAGTCTGTTGATATGGATAATGAATAGTGGCCCCCTTAGACAAAACTAGAAATGGTGGCATGCAATTTTGATGCCATTCAGGCTACACACATTTTACCTTATAATTGGCCACTGCTATACTGTTTGTTTTAGATTATGTATGTCTGCAGCAGGAGTCTGTTTAAAATCATACAGCTAAGTATGCGAAGTAGTAATGTGTATTTTAATGATTTGTTACCCTGCTGGATATTTCTTAAATCATTATGAGTCAGATTGGAATGAGTAGTAGCTTACAATCAAACACAGACACACAGGAAGTGGCCACAGGTTTATTCCCTTCCATTCACCATACTGTAAAAACGCTAGTCGCACTCTTGATATAATTTGGAAACCGTCCGGAGGAAAAAAGACACACGATGAAGAGTGACAACAATATATTGGAAATGAAGATCAACACAGCCTCTGTAACCCCCCCATTATTATTTTTTTAAGATCCATTTTTAAGCACATTTTAAGGCACTGTGCTTGAACGACAGGGTTAAATGCTAACCTTAGCACGACTGCAAGCTGCATCCATAAAAAGTATTATGTAGTATTTCAGCATAGTCTAGAATGGGGACAGCAAAATGAATGTAGGTAGAAAACTCGGGAAGCAGATGGCTAAGCAACATAAAAATAAAATGCCTGATTTTATTAATCAAAACTGGAGCACAGACTTCTTGGATGGTGTGCTAATAAAATTAACTACATAGCAAGCCATGTCTGTGTCATAGATGTATTAAAATTAATCTTAAAAAGGGGGGGGGGAGGCAACAACACCACAAACCCAGTTCAGGTGCAGTTCAGTCAACAGAGTTGGTAGACTGCTCGTATTTGGCCACTTGTGTCTGTCAGATTTAACTGTTAATTTATTTGTTACAGTGTTAAATTGGTCTGTTATCCTACTTTTTCCCATCATTGTTACACGAGTCTGTGGGGATTCACTCAAGCAAGCCTCAGGTGACTGGATGAGGACCTGCAATTTTTGGGTTCTAATAGGCAGCTGACTGACAAAATAATTTGTCATCTTAATCTTGCCAAGACAATAAACAAGTGTTCGTCTCTCTTTTCTTCAAAGTGAAACATAAGGACGCTTTTTGTTGAACATCAGACTAAATAATACCGGACAAGATTTGGGGGGGGGGGGGGTTTCACAACCTGTCATGTCAGCTTGTGCATTTACTGTCTGAGCTATAATGGATAGCTTGTACCTCTGCACAATGAAACTGTGTTTTTTGGGAGGGGGTGAAAATAGATCACTGAGGCATATGATCCTCATGTTTTCTATTCATGAGGATAAAAGAGGCTAGAGCGGTTGCTACAAAAGCCAACATCTTGTAGAAAGATTAAAGTGGATGACAAGAAAAGCTCAACACACGGCTGTGATATACATGATTCCCACTTTTCTGTCAAGGTGCTAAAATTGGGCTGAGTTCTGCTTGTTTGTTTGACTCGGGTGTGCGCATCCTTTGTCGTTACAAGGTTATTCTTCCATCCTAACAGCCTGTTCATGTTGAGGACAGATCTAATCTCTTGAAAGATTTAACATCCTGGGCTACTCTGATCTGCGGCCAAATCATCAGAAGGATTCAAGGATGCTGTGGATTGGTGGGAATACAAAAAGGAGGGTTTGGTTTTGTGTCGGAGGCTGCTGGACAAATTTCAGAGCCTTACCAGTCAGTCCACAGCCTTCTTTCTTTACTCCTGCAAGAAGCATCCCTGCACTTCAGGAATCTTAACACGATCTCAGAGGATGCACGTGAATCTGTCATGTGTTGGTCTGTATGATCATCTAGATGATGGATTGGAGAGACACACAAGACCAATATTTACTGCTGAACTCTTAAAGTTGTGAAGCATTCAGAGTAAGGTGGCCTTATCGCCAAAGCCAGTGAGATTCTGTTGTCCAACAGCAGTTTATTTCAGTACTGAAAAGACTGTTTCCAAGTGGATGTTCAGATCTTTCTTTGTACTCTAACCTCAGTGCAGCACCACTCTAAATCTTCTTCTCTCATCTCTCTGTTCTTTGGCTAAATCTGGCTCTCAAATTGACATTATCAGTCTGAATGACAGCAGCAGAGCGAAATGGCTGTGCAGAGGCAGCAGTGTGCTGCTAGCTTTCGGAGACAGTCACACTTAATGCCTCTAACCCCATCAATTTGTGAGCAGAGATTGAGTTTCCAGAAGAGCATGAAGTGTGTGGTAAAGCTGTTGACTGTGGCAGACACTGAAGTTTGCTTTTGAGGAAATTCCAGACCGACATAGTTGAGAGGCTCCGGGTCGTCTTGTCCAGCGAACAAACCGTCTGACCTCTGTCGTAGGAAGGTCGTGCGGTTGACCTATGCTGTTAACAAGGGGGCATGAAAAAACAATCGCACGTATGATCAGTCTCTCAACCAAACTATCATAATAAATCAGCGCTGCAAAGAGCATACTGACCTGCTAGAGAAACCTACTCGGCGGTAGCTGCTGATTGAAGTAACAGGCACAAGACTTCTTGGCTTGGAGTGTATTAACACCAACAGCAGCTAAAACAAAACTCTTCAACAACATAAAGAATAGAAATATAGTGTTGGATCTCCTCAGCAGGTCCATTTGTGACTCTATGGTCAGACCCTGCAATCTGATGACCCCAATAATCCGATGAACTCCTATAAGCAAGTCCTTGGTCACAGTGGGAAGGAAAAAAAATCCATTTTAACAGGAAGAAACCTCTCATCTGCCACGACTGGTTGGTGATGTGAGAAGGGAGACAGAACAGGCTGTGGAGGAGAGCCAGAGATTAATAATAACCAATGATTAAATGCACAGAGAGGGGTGAGTGAAGAAGAAATACTGCATCGTGGGAAGTCCCCGGCAGTCTAGGCCTATTACAGCGTACATAAAGGAGAATTCAGGGTAATCTGATCCAGTTTTATCAAAAAGGAAAGTTTTAAACCTAGTCTTAAAAGTAGGATCGGGGCTTGACTATTCAAGACCTTGTATGTGAGGGGGAAAAATATCAATATCCTTGCGATTCCATTGCATGTTTACGTCTACACCTAGCAAGCATTGTCTGTGTGTCTTTTGCACTTTGCAGTCGAGTAAAAACAATGTGCAGTGCCTGTACGAACAGTGATGATAAAACCAAAGGGCAGTGAAGTCACTGTTTTCACAAAGAGTGCAACAAAAGGTTTTCATCAGCCTGGAGCTCAACAGTAAGCAAACTCCAGGCTTACCGCACTGAGCGGTGCTCATTTCATTTGACTGTTTAGAAGTGTTTAGCTTTGTGCAGCAGGAAATAATTTATGACAGCAAGCAAAGTATGTGTTTATATCTCAAAGATGAACTCAATGCTCTAGTTTGACTATATTTCAGTAGATACACGATTTCCAGCAAAGGTGTTTTGTTATATTTTGACCTTGAAGACGCAGTGTGTGTTTATTAAAAATGTTTTATAATATGTATTTTCTTTTTCCGTTCTGTATTTAAATTTTTCAAGCTGGTTTCAGGTTTTCAAGCAAAGAGAACCTTTTCCTCTTCTGTAGATGCTGAAGCAGCAGCGCTGCACAGGGATGATTGCTGCTCTTTACAAGACAGGGCTATTTTCCATTCACAGCGTAGGACTCTTCCTCTGATATGGAAAGTGAGCCTCAGAAAATGCTTGATCTGCTCTTTGATGTTAAGGACTATGCTGATCTCTGAACTCGATGAATAGCGTCAGTTCACACACAGATCTGTCTGTAAAGGGTCTTATCTGGCTTTATGAGATGGTTAATATCATCTTGGCATATAGGAAAGTATTATGGTTAAATTTAAGGCCAATGAACGTTCATGAAAGCCTACAAAAGTATGAGTCGCTTATGTTGCGCACTTCCTTTTACTGTTATTCATGATGCCGCAGGGACAGCACATCTGTGCTAGTTCACCTCAGGGCTGCCTGCACTCTCCTACTATTTTCATTCTGCTTTTGTAGTCCATAGGGTTTATTTTAAATGACAGAGGAGGTATTTATGCTAAAATAAATAAAATACATCAACATTTGTTTTCACTGTAGTACTCCAGGTGCACACATTGCATCATTAAACACATAGTTTTAGACCGTTTTGTGCTGCTTTTCCAGCTTGGAAATGGAATTAGATACAAATCTGTTCCCTGAAGTATTTTCCAACCACTCCTTATCTTTTTTTCTGCTTTCAGATGAAGCTGTGGAACAAGTATAAGGTAACCAGTATCCCATCTTTGGTGTTTGTGGACGCCTCCACGGGGAAGATCGTGTGTCGAAACGGTCTGCTGGTGGTCAGAGATGACCCCAAAGGTGAGCTCAAGCATCTAGAGCTACAAACACACACACAGGCCACAATATTAGTAAAACCATGTGGCTGATTTATTTTTATTTCCTAACCTCAAGCTCTGACTCTAATCCTCTTTACTGAATGGTTAACCCTAACCCCAGTTCAACCCTAGAAATATGACTGTTTAATGAGGTAATGGGAAGACGTTTTGAGGGTCAAAAGGACAAACATCATAGATCAGTTTCTCGCACAGTTTGTCTGTCATAGCTTATAGCGCTGAATTCTTGGTGGGTAGCAATCATCAGTCACTCTTGGCTGAGAGTAATAAGCAAGCAGCATAACTCATTGAGAATTGCATACTGACTTCACACCAGTCTATCTTCTCTACTGTAACACTTGTCACTTCCAAATGTATCTCATGAAATGGCAGCAGCTGGGCTGTAAAATTCCCCCTGTGGCAAAAGGGTATGAATGAGCAACTTGAATAGCAAACTTCAAGATAAGAAGATGTTAAGTTTCTATCTGCATGTGAAGAAAAACATGCTGCATGCATGAGCAAAATATCTTCACGGTGAAGATAAACAGTCGCTCGTGTAAATTCTTTAGTCAGGTGGAAAAACAAACCCTCATGGGGAAGAGAGAAAATATGTAAATGTATTTATGGTGTTATTAGAAATGTTGGATGCTAGACTTAAAGATGGCAACCCTTTCAGTCTTGTTAAAACTGCCCAGCTGGCATCTTCCTGTTTCTTTCCCACACAGTTTAAATCAAATATAGTAACCAAACACCTTCTTGGGCCTTACAAAAGGTTACTGTATCAAATTCTAAAAATGATTTCACCTGAGGTTTTATGAAGGGGGTGAAAAGGCTTTTTTTTTTTTTTTTTTTTTTTTTTTTTTGTAATGATTGTTTTGTGTTCAGTGTGCACAAGCTGAACATGGAGCTCCTAACAACCTGGTTTAGCCCCTACATCAGAATAGTTTCACAGGCCAGTGCTGTTCAAGCTTGGATTTGTTCCAGTGCTGCACACTGCACGTGGGCACTGTTCATACCCTCCTACTGAGCTCATGAGATTTAACCCAAGAATGACAAAAAAACACTCTCCTTGCCTGTTAGTGCATCTTTTCCAGTGTTAAAAACCATAGGTATAAAAGTCATAAGATTAATAATTTCTCTTTATTTGTTGCATATTGGACAGTTTATCTTTTTTTAATGGTAACAGTAGGATGATTTCATGCTGAAACACCTTTTTTAATAAAAATATGATTCTTCTTCTACTTCTACTTCTACTACTACTACTAACATAAACACCTCAATAATGATTTCCCATCACACCAGGAACTACTTTAGAACCACCAAGAAACTGGCAAGCACGTCTTTGGACAGGTTTAAACTTTCTTGGTGTGAGGTGATCGATGCACCATCGTGCTGTTATACTGGCTAACTCATCAAATCACACCTTCAGGTTGGTTAGCTAATGTCCTACCCTCTTCTAGTTTAGTCCGTGGTAAATGGACTATAATTTATATAGCGTCTTCTTTTTTTTTTTCTTTTTTTTTTCCCCCTTTAAACTCATCTAGCAAGCAAAGAACTTTTTACACTCCAAGCTACATCCACAGAACTACTATTCAAGACCCTCTCTAAATCCTGAGCCAGGGTAAACAACAAGACTTCAACCACAGGTGAGAACTGGGTAACCAGTGAGGAGTACATGGGGTCCGTCCAAGAGATTGGACTGAAATAAATACTACACAATTAGTATGACTTCTGAACTTGACTTGCTGTATCCTCTGGCAAGGTGAGATGTGTAAGATCACACCGTCCTTGAGATCAGTCAGTGTCTCTAGGCCCTCGGAAACTACCGGTAACAAGTGAGGAAAAAAACAAAGCGTATTCTCCAGGTGGTTGCCGAGGTGTTGTTGCCAGCTGCTAAGTGAAATTGGTCGCAATTAAGGTGCTATACCAAAAATACATATTTCCCACCTGCTTTTTTTTATTTGTCATTTTGCTTGGTAGACGGTGACTCATCTGCAAACTACTAATCCTCACACAATTTTTCCGTTGCACTTTTTTTACAATTTTGCTATCACTCACCATTAAAAACTAAAGGTGACCAAAGCAATCACAATGATTTTCTTTTTCCTCTCTAGTGACCTCACTGTGTCATGGTTCACACCAATCATGTTGTTTTGTTTTGATTTCTCTTCTGCAGTGTCATCTTTTTAATTCAAATTTATGTCACATGCTTCCTGTAAATACTTATTTATTATCTATACGTAAACCACAGCCAAGCGTAACAATTTGAGATATTTATTTATTTAACTTCTGTTTTCACTCAGTTTTCTATCTGCTAATTGAAAATGTGCATTTAAATTCTTCATGTAAATTCTTAGTTTTATAAGCAATAAGAATATCCAGCCTACCACATTGGGTTCACACCATAAATAAGTCGTTTAAGTTAACCAAAATGTAATGAGTGCAGTAACTAAGGTCAGACCCACATTAACCCGCACACAACACACACCTCAAATTCCTGGTGAGGATTTACTGAGGATATTTTGCCCAGTCCCATCATTCAGCGTTTGTCTGAAGCATTTTGCAATAACTTCCCCCCCCCCCTCGTGTTTGAGTTAATGCCGCTATAATTATGGTGCCGTGTGAATATTATAGCGTGTCCATGTCTCACACTCTCGTCTTTGAAACCTATAATTTCTGCACTTTGAAGTGGAGATGGAGAAATTAACAAGAGTGATCTTGCATTCCTTTCCTGTATTGAGGGCGTCCATCTGTGGCTGAGACGATCTCAATATTTTAAAACGCTGCCTCTTCAAAGCCTGTTAGGTCAGCTTTAAAAAAAAAAAATGGTGTCGTGTCATGTGAGAGGGAAGAATAGCAGCCATGTGAGGACTGTGACAGATTTCACTGTCTGTCTAATGAAAGCTGGTCCAGGCCTGCAGTGATATTTCCACAGTTCATTAACTAGATGTGAGCTGAGAAGATATTAAATTGGTGGCTTCAGTAGCAAAGAGAGCCACCAGCACTTCAGGAAGTTTTGCATCTCTTTGAAATAAAAGGCTGTGCTTTTTTTTTTTTTTTTTTTTTTTTTTTTTTCTTTTTTTTTTTTTTTTAAACATCAGATTTTTAAATTTGATGTATTAAGCTGTGGACTGTTCCTAATGTGACAAATCAATTCAGGTGCAACAGCCACGGCTGGGAGAGGTAAAGGGCAGCAAAAAGTTCGCGTATGCTGACAGTCGGAGGGGCGGGTGAACAATTTGGGACCCCACTGCCTTTCACTGTCGATGAAAGGCCTGACTTGAGTGGTGGCAGACTAGCCCTGCAGCGTAAAGATGGAGTGCACTTTTACAATCAGGACAACAATGAAAGGCCGCGCCAGCGCAATGCAGACGTGTCGTTCCTGCCTAATGAAGCCCCGGACAACAGCGCTCACATAAAGAGTCCATTATGAACCAGCCATACAAGCTTTTATTTATGATTACACCCCCCGTTTAATTCAGCTGTACCAAATGCATCTCCAGAGCTCTCCGGGAACAATGAAAACACCTTGAAAAGGAAATGAAAAGTGTGAAAGAGAGCAGGAGGGAAGTATTTCTGACAGCCTTCATTTGCTTAAGAGGTTCGACATTTCTTTTTCTTTAAGTGTGTGTGTGTGTGTGTGTGTGTGTGTGTGTGTGTGTGTGTGTGTGTTCACATGCGTGCATATTTTCAAAGCAGAAAACACAAAACAGCCCTTTAAAAACATATTTCAATGACAACTGTGTGTGGTGGTTTGACATGTGACACCCTTAACGGACACAGAAAAGCTGTCTGTGGGTCTTCTGCTGAGCTGAAGTGTGACTCTTGAGTCCACATTTCAGTATCTAAGCAGCTGTTAGATGGATTACCGTGATGTTTTGTAAATATTCATGATTCCCAGACATGAAATCCTAACAGTGTCACTGTGAGTTATAGTAGTTTTAAGTGTGAGTTAAAGCTTTGTGCAACAGTGGACAATTTGTCATGTTATTAATAATGAATGCAGCCAAATACCTATGAAAACACAGCGTCATCATCTTCTGTTGCACTTGCTCCACTGGTATGGAACAAAATACTGGCATTTAGCTCAAATCAGTGCCACGCAGCAACTCTTAGAGCCGCTAGCATGGCAATAATCTCTCGTTTTCCTTCCCATGTTTCCCCTTTCTTTGCCCCCTCTGCTTTCCTACCCTCTCTCAGGCCTGGAGTTCCCCTGGGGCCCGAAGCCATTTGCGGAGGTGGTGGCAGGACCTCTGCTCAGGAACAACAGACAGACAACAGACAGCAGCTCTCTGGAGGGACACTATGTGGGAGTGTATTTCTCAGCACACTGGGTGAGTGGAGAGAAGACAAAGAGGACCCCATCTTTTTTTCTTTTCTTTTTTTTTCCTATTCAGGGCTCCTGACTCTGTGAAAACATTGAGACATCAGAGAAAAAAGAGCGGCGGCAGCACAGCAGAGCAGGAAGAGGCAGGAACAGATAAGAGAGAGGAGCGAGACTCCATTGTGTTTGACTGTTTACATTACAGCAGTTGACGATCTCCATCAGTCCTTTCACCACCAACTGTGGATCAGTCACCACACCCCAAAGACGTCACACCGTTGTTTCTTTTCTTTGCTGCCGCTGCCGATAGCCAGCGAAGGTCATGACTCACGATGCATGGAAGGCGTTAAATCATCGCTGTGCTGTTCCTGATGAGATGCAGCGCGAGCTGCCGAAGCCAGTCGGCGCAGCAGCTGCCAGAGCCGTAGCCTCAGATACCGGCTGCTCAGAATGGTGACGCCTGAATGCTGGCGCAAACCCCAAAGCCATATAAAACTGAAAGGACAAGTCACAAAAAGCAATTACAGGAGTTTATTTGCGGTGTTTTACACCAGGGTCCCCAGGTTACTCGTGTAAATCTATCTGCTACTAAAGCAGTCTCACAAAAACGAAATGCCAGCACTTTGCCTTGGCATCCTGATAGTATATTTTCTTTACTTTATTTCCCTCCTTCCTGTCAGAGGGACCTAAATGCCCCATGGCAGAGACACATGCAGCGTGACCTTCTCTTGTAGTGGGAGAAAACTTTAGTGTTATCACGATAGTACTAAAACAAGCTTGTGTAATGAGCGATGAACACACTTATACAGTGTTTATATCTGTAAGGTATAAGGGAAGATCGCACTTACTACACAAGATACTTTGTGCTTTTGTCCCAACGTCCCTTTGTGTTGATATGATGAAGTGCCACTGTAGGAAGCTTTAAGCTTCTCTACTTAGTAAACAGGAAGATGAGATGAGCCTTAGACATATGATATGTAATTAAGTCTAGCAAAAATACCTCAACATATTTACAGGGAAGGAAACTGAAGCAGCTATGGCATTAATCCATATTTACAGGGAATGTGCTTACTGTGTGTATGTTAAAGATTTAGTCACTGTGACACAAGCAATAAATCTGGCATTTTTGAGAAATTATTTTGGGGCATTTTTGCCATTATTAGACAGGACAGTGGAGAAAGCAGGAGAGTGGTGCAGACACAGAGCAAAGGCTCCAGGCTAGAGTCGAAGTTGGGCCAGTGCATTCAGCCTTTTTGTGGAAAATGGTCGCCTTTGTCCGTTTTGATACAAGAGCATCACACAGTTGCTGCAGATTTGTTGCCTGGACAGCCATGATAGTACTGCACATAACTGCATTAAGATTTGTTGACTGTGGAGGCTTTTAGAGTACTGTACAGTGAGCTTATTTTCATGTTCAAGAAACAAGTTTGAGATGTTAGAGACTAATGTTGAGACATTAGTCTCCAGCCATTGTAAAATGGGTATACTGTGATCATAAAGGGATGATTATGGTCAGCAATAATACTCAGGTAGGCTGTGGATGTTAAATGATGCGTAGTGTGGCAAGAAAATATCCCCACACCATGACACCACCAGCAGCCTGAATCATTGATGCAAGGCAGGATGGATCCATGCTTTCCTGATTTGTTTTGTTTTTAATGCCAAATTCTGACCATAACATCTGAATATTGCAGCAGAATTGGAAACTCGTCAGACCAGACAACATTTTTTCCGATATTCTGCTGTCTAATTTTGTTCAGCCAGCTTCAAAGTTTTTATGTGTTGTGCTTTCAGAGATGTTCTTCTGCATACCGTTTTTAGAACCAGCGGTTATTTGAGTGTACTGTTGCCTTCCTATCAGTTGAAAGCAATCTGGCTATTCTCCTCTGACCTTTGACATCAACAAGGCGTTTGTGGGAAAGTCCCAGCAGATCAGCAGTTTCTAAAATATTCAGGCCAGCCTATCTGGCACTGACAACCGTGCCATATTCAAAGTCACCTCTCTTCCTCATTCTGATGCTCAGCTTGAATTTCAAGAGGTTGTCTTAAGCATGTTTACATTCCTAAATGCACAAAGCTGCTGCCATGTGATTGTATGATTTGATATTTGTGTTACTGAGAAGTTGAACAGGTGTACTTGGTGATGAGTGTATATGTATGTGTATTTTGGTACTTTCTGTCCTTGTGCTTCTTAGCTGAAGCAGTCTGCATTCATTAATTGAATTACTTATCGTTCATCGGCTAATCAATGTTTAAATAAGTACAGTTTGAGAGAAGAGAAGAAAATCTATTGTCCCTGAAATCATTTTAACCTCAGTTTCACTCCATGCAAACATGTGGCATGCATTTTGTAACTGTTCAAGCTGATTTAAATATTACGTTTCTATTTTATTATGTATTCACAGCAGAGAAAACAAAGAAAATACAGATATGAAGCAAACAGAGCATGGGAAAGAGGCTGGAAGTTGAGACTAGTCTGTTTTGCTTCTCACTGTCATGGTGCTCTGATGTCATCGTAATGCCAGCCATACCACCGCTCCCCCTTGCCTGGATAGCGTTGGCGCTCTAAACACATAGTAGAGCAAATACTTTCTTAAGCTCGAGTATTCCTCGGGATTAACGTTTTAAACAGCCTGGATACAAAACAAGACAGAATTACTAGTTTGTGGAAAGGTGTTTGGCGGCAGAGAGGAAAATAGTTTTGGGGAAAAACCCTGGGAAATGAGCACCTTATCACTTGTGACTGTGTATATTAGATGTTCACTCGTTCGCTCTCTCTCAGTGCCCACCGTGCCGCAGTTTGACTCGTGTGTTGGTGGAATCGTATCGGACCGTCAAAGAGTCGGGCCAGAAGTTTGAGATAGTGTTCGTCAGCGCCGACAGGTGAGCGACACTGCACCTGCCTTTTGCCTGTTAAGAACCCAACTGGGTCCCTGCTTACTTGTTGTTATTAAAACCAAGAAATCAGCATCTGTTGTCTTCCTGTTCGGTTCTCCCCTCCACCCCGCTCAGGTCAGAGGAGTCCTTTAAGCAGTACTTCAGCGAGATGCCATGGTTGGCAGTGCCTTATTCAGATGAGGCTCGGCGATCGCGGCTCAACAGACTATACGGAATACAAGGTATTTCACCAGCTCCATCACCGTTATCGCTGAATAGGCATGTTTTTCCTGGCCTGTTATGCTATTTATCCATTGCTTTGTTGAGAGTTGCAGCCAACTGCATCACTGCACAAAAGGCAGAAAAGCATCCATCATCTCCCTGTGATAAGAGGCTGATGCTAGTGATAGTGTTGGTTAGTTACGCTGTTGTTTTTATTGGCAGATGTAAACAGCAGGAAGACAATAGTTCTTCCTTATTAATTTATTCAGTTTTGGCACTTTGAGCGCTACAAGTCAAGATCCTTTTAGTTACATCACATTCAAGAGAAGGCCAATTTCTTCAAAATCTAATAAATAACAGTACAGATCAGGAAAAAATATGTATATGTGATTGAGTACAGTGTGCCTTTTAAGATAAGAGCAGAAAGGGGATATATCTATTTTTTTTTCTCTCTGCCAAACTTGGTTATGTTACATACTGAAACACTGGCACGAAGGCTTGACAGCTCTTTGTGTTGGGCGGGCAAAACAGCAACACAGATCGCCCTGCAGCCTGGGGAATGTGGGCTGGTTATCCAGTTTACCGTCTCAGTGCGGAAGTGCCGTGCCTTCCTCCCGAGTGTGTTAGTGGATGACTCTGGATGAAGTTAGCGAAAACTGGCCGTCGGCCTGTCCTGCAAAGAATTTGAGGAATGTGTACTGGACGAGTTAACACTGCCCCCCCCCCCCCCCCCCCCCCACACACACACACACTCACTCACTCAAACCCCTGCAGTCTCTGATTTCCCCCACCTCAGTTAACTTCAGTCCACATGTGCAGACAGGAATTTACTGATTGCTGCTTGCTTGCCTGATTTGTGTCTGTTTCTGATAAAGGATTGTATTCACGGTGCGGGTGGCTTGTAAAAGCACTGTCAGAGGGGTAACGGACAGAGCTAGAGGGAGGTGAGAATCCCCAAAAAGAGGTTTAAAAAAAAATCTCACTGTGAAAGGGAAAAGAGTGCGTCATGATGCGATAATTAAAGGAAACGACCCATAGCACCTCCCAGGCTTTTGCCCATTTCCTCCCCTCCTATGTTTCTCTTCCTTTCATCATCATCATCTTTCTCCATTCCAGGTATTCCCACATTGATTCTGTTGGACACGGAGGGTCACATGATCACGCGACAGGGCCGGGTGGAGGTGTTGAACGACCCAGAGTGCCGGCTCTTTCCCTGGCACCCTCGGCCCGTGCTCGAGCTCAGCGAGTCAAACGCCGTGCAGCTCCACGAAGGGCCCTGCCTCGTCCTGTTTGTGGGTGAGAGGCTGAGGCTTTATAATTCGGCGAAGTTCCACATGGGGCTCTGTCTGAATGAAGTGGCATTTATTTAGAGCATATTGAATGTCAGACACTGCGGAAAATTCTTCCAATGGCGAAAGGTCCCAGAGGGAAATGCTGTGGGAAATGCTTCATGTAGTATTTACTGTTTCCATCTATTTATATGCTAATACGGGAATGCTAATGCAAAAAAGAAAAGAATTTTTCCAGTGAATGGCACTGAATGATTTAGACATTAAGGTGTAGAGAGGAAACAGACATGGAAAAGAATTTGAGAGTGCAAAGTGATGACCCTCAAAATATGAGACCACCCTGGTGTCTCCTGAGGCCAAACCAAATCGCACAACAAGACTGAGGACCATCTGTACATGTAGTTTCTTTCATCTCTGCACTCATCTGTCCTCCAGTTGCCTATCCTTGCAGCCACTACTTTCACTCATCTGTTCGTCTTTTCCTCTCCCATGTGGCTTCTTCATGCTTTTAACAGAGCTCTGTTTCTCTTTCCTGGTTAATGCAGACGCTGAGGAGGAAGGTGAATTGGAGCCAGCCAAGGAGCTGATTCAACCAATAGCGGAAAAGCTCATGGCCAAGTACAAAGCGAAGGAGGAGGAGACGCCGCTGCTGTTCTTTGTGGCTGGAGAGGTGAGATAAGCCGACAGAGTGAAATACCATTTCACACAAAACTGGCATAAGCTGGGGTTTGTTTGTTTTTTTTTGGGGGGGGGGAGGTTTGAACATCCTGCTCTACCTGAGCTGTGCTTCGGGATGATTTAGTCTTTGAATGTACAGCTCAGGCGATCCTGTGTTTTTGGTTTCTTTTTGTTTTGGTTTGGGGGTTTTGAGGCAGATACAGACATGATAGTGAAAATGCCAGTGCAATAACACAGCGACATGCATAAACAAACATTTCCAAACATTTCTGATTTGTTTTTAAGGAGGTGGAGACACGTTAGACAAAAACAGACTCTCGGCAAATAACAGTATTCTATCCAGAGGAGGATTTCACCTATTTTTGTCACGTTGTCTTTGACCACATCCAGCAGTTACTTTCTCACTTTGGCCCTTCTGCAGTTTCTACCCACTACTGTGGGGAAACATCTGGCTCTGCTGCTGCTGCTCGGTGTTCACTACCTGCTTGCTAACTGCGTGTGACTGCTGTGAGTTACTAAAGAGTCAGTTTTCTGGAAAAACGCTGCCTGCTGCCACTAAGAGTTACCCTGCGTGAGTGGCGAGAGTGAACAGAACAGTTCAGGGTCAGAAGACCAAACAATGACTGAAACAACAGTAAAATGACTCATAAAAGGATAAATGTAGAGTTAAAGAGATACTTTGGAAACACAAAGTTGCATATTGACAATGTCAATATATGTTTATATTCAACAATTAATTTTAGCTGCTTTGGATTTGAGTATTTAAGGGGATGTATTAGTTTCAAGTAATGAAGTCAGCTTATTTACAAGTAATCCCCATGAGCCAAAAGCTCAGGCTTCAGGGTGCTCTGTAATCTCTGATGCTGCTTTCCATTTGAAGTGGGAACTGAGAAATCCAGAGTTACCAGTTGGAATTTTCCACTCTAGCACCCCCTTCAGTCAAACTTTCCACTCAGAAAGTCAGGGCAGCCACACCAACCTTGACTTTGCAATTAAAAAAAAATTAAACTTTAGAACATGTGCATATGTGCAGTAGATGATATTTCCACAACTTCAGTGGCTACTAAAGCATTTGAGGCCCTGTTCTTGAATGTGCAAGAGAGGCATTCAGTCCCATCCATGACCTACAATTCAACTGTGCGCCTCTATCATGATGGGTAGACGCAGAGCGTGGCAGCGCTCTCCCTCACAATACTGACAAATCATCCTTTCTATCTGCGCAGTATCTCCTCCCACATCTTCCCCGTGTGGGATGAGCCGTGGAGTTTTCATAATACTTGTTATCTTGTGTTGTTCTGCCTTGACCTCTCCAGAACTGGTGCAGCAGCAGACATAATTACCGGATTAGATACCTCTCCTCAGTTCCCCCGCACTCTGTCCTCCAGCCAGCCTTCCTCCCAGTTCAATCTGGGGGTGACGGCACTGGTTTCTGGTGTGTCACTTGCCCAAAAGCAGGCTCTGGTTTCAGCTGCATGTCTCGCACATGTGCTAAATGGCAGCTCAACTCTGTCTGCTTTGGAATATCAGTGGCACATGTACGCAGACCTAGAAAAGCTTAAGTTTTAAGGAAAGCACGAGTTGGACTGATAGCGTTTCGTGTTAAATGTGTCAGGTCAAAGAAATGTTGGCACAAACACAAAGAAATGCTGTTGCACTGGAGCTTGCGGTTATTCAGGAGCAACACATGCTAAGCCGTATACTTTTACATCCATGTAGTGCAGGTCTAATTTCCTGGCTGTAGCTCAGCCGGCTATGAAATCACCAGGTTTCCCCCTCCAGACTGGGTTGCGTCAGATATCGCTTCCCATGTCAGGCATTCTGTGAAGCTTCCATGCTCTGGGCTCCTTCAGCTAAGCTTGTGCCCTGGTAGGCACACACTTCTCTGCCAGACCAGCTGCTGGGTTTTCTGTGTCCATGAGACAGCAGTATGTTGGCAGCCCCTCAGGGGGGAGGCCAGTCTGAGCTGAATGATACAGGATCTTCTTACCCAACTGTAAAAAAAACATACGCCACAGGGTAGTACAGTATACTGATTTATAATCGCAGAATGAAAGATCTTTTGTTCTTTAACTTCTGCTGTGTTCTGGCTCTTGCATGCAAAATGAACTTGAGCGGTATTATCCAGTCACATAAGAATTTAATAGACTTTTGTGGCAGCCAGAAGTGACTGTGATTCTGCTCTTCAAAGCTTTGTTTTTGCCTGCTTGATTTGTGTGTGTGCACGTGTCCCTAAACAGGATGATTGCTTTGACTTTGAGATTATAGTGGGTTTCATAACCACTCTGGTACTGCATTTATTCAAATCATAGCACACTGACAGTTTCTTTCGCATTCATTATGTTTTAATGTAAAATGTGAATGCTTCACATATGCACATTTTGATCATGTTAGTGGAAAGACAAGGTCATACTGTGGTCCAACATGTTTATACAGATCAATAGTATAACAGTGGTGGTCCCTCGAGGTTAATGCCTCGGTTTTTGCCTTAATAAAATCTTAAAGAGATTACTTGTGTTTTTAAAAAAATGACCTGCACAGTGGGTTCATTTCTGGGGTCAGCCTCAAGTGGCCATCCAAGGCACTCTACTGTTATATGGCCTTAGCTAGTAACAAATGTATATGGGGTTTTGTTTGTTATTGCTTTTTCTGTTTCTGCGGTGAGGTGTCAAGCAAAAGCAACAAGTGGGGATATAATAACCTAACCGGCCAGTCAGAAGGGTTATGCTTAATTATCTTACCAGCTAGTGACCCAAGCAGGTCTCATTCAGCGATGTAGACAAGGGCTCTGGGTTGTGAGAAAGTCTGTGCTGTAGTAGAGATGTCCAAAGCTCGATCTTATGCCTCCATGTTTCTAAATGGATGACCGGTAACTTTACATGTGACCATGTGTGTAAGCATGTAAGCATTCACAGGAACAGTATTTTATCTATGCGGGCATTGCAGAAAATGACCTCATGCAAATATTGACAAAGCACACAGCTAAACATCAAAAAGGAAGATAAAGGCCTGTGATATTTAGCGATTGTGTGTTTATCTAGCTTGTTAGCTGCTAACCAGGGGTGCAACAATACTCATATCGATATTGAACCGTTCGATACAGTGCTTTCGGTTCGGTACACATATGTATTGAACAACACAAAATTTTTAATTTATTTTATCAACTTTCCTTCTGACGATGCTGTCTGTGTTGAGAGCTCAGTGTATCTGCGTTCGACTACTCCGCCTAGGCTGCACTGTCAAGCGCAGATCCACTGAGCGCAGCGCAAGCTAGCAAGACAGAAGCTAAGCTCCTTACAACATGGCAATTTGAACCTCCCCCACCTTCATTCAGATCTGGCCTTTGGAACTATTTTGGTTTTCATGTGACGTATGACCCTGAAGGTAAGCGTGTCATGGACAAAAGTAAAACAGTATGTCGATGTGCCATGCAATGCTCAATTACATTGGTGGGAAGTAGTGCGTTAGCGCAGTTAGCTCATTAACGTGTTGACTCCGTCCAGCCCCACGCATGGGGCGATCCTGGTAACTCGTTAACAGAGATTTGCGGCATTATGGCGTTAATGTCATTTTAACGAGATTAACGCTGACAGCACTAGTGGGAACACAACGAATATGACTGCACATTTACCCGACATCATCGTAGTGCAAAGACAAGTGGAAGCAGACAAAAACAACAAGCACACATGCTACAAACTTTACCAGAGTCATTTAGACAGCCGTTAGCACATGATTCTCCTTATGGGGACCTGATATGTTTAATATGCTGCTGAGAATATAGCCCAGAAGAAGCGTATAGTATAGCTTTTATTTTGGAAAGAGCCATTTCTCTGTAATAAACTCTCTTTTCCAAAGATGAGCGATTTCTCGATCAGATAGATGTATTTTTTTATTATTTTGTTGTTTCAGCAACATTACATTTAAAAACTGTACTTTTGAGTTAAAATATATATTTATAATTTTAATAAATGACAAATTAAAAAGGCATGAACTTTTTTTTTTGGTATCGAAAAAATATCAAACCGTGACCCCAAAGTATCGAACTGAACTGTGAATTTTGTGTATTGTTGCACCCCTACTGCTAACAGGCTACGTCCACACTAATGCATTTTTGTTTGAAAACTAATCGTTTTCTCTCAGTTTTGGCCTCCCGTCCACAGCGAAAACGGAGACTAAAAACTAACTAAAACATGACGTATGTTAATCATATGATGCAGTCATGTGACCAATTAAACCAAGATAGCGGAGGGCATTATACAGCAGTTGTTTTGTTTGCTCTCAATTTTAACAGCCCTATTAAAGATTAATATCAGTCAGTACATGCTCCAGATAGCTTTTCTTCAAATTCTTTAACTAGCACTCGCTTTTGCAATTTTGTACTTTTGTGTTACTGGCAGCAACAACTCCAACTCATTGTTAGTCCATTTAAAAAAAACTCGGTGCTTTTACTCAACATTTTGTCGCGATGTTTCAAAGATCAAGAAAGTAAATAAACGACAGACAGAAATGAGGCAGGTCCAAGCTTCTTGTTTTTCACGCATGCGCAGTACTGGGACGTAAGTGTTTTCAGACGTTTCTATGTGGACGAATCTACTTGGGCTAATGGAACACAATTATTGCATTGACTGAGAGTTTAAGTTATAACTTTTTTTCCCATCTCATAGTACTGTGTATAAGTCTTGAGACACCCCTCATTTCTTTACATTTTGCAGGGAAAATGGGAAATGGGCGAATCAATATACTGGAATTTTGAAATTTTTTGCACATTTCTATAACTGTAACTGTGTAGAAAAATTAATCTGTTGGATTTTTTTATTTATTTATCTGTGCACCACGTAAAAATGTTTTAAATTTCAGCAGTATAAGGTAGATATATCTATGACAATGACGACTTTTTCTCAGGACATCAAAGGTGACCTGTGAGATGGACACAACCCCAGCTCAGGAGCGAGTGGCTGGGTTCATCATTATCAGCTGAATCCTTATCAGATGGTCGATGTCTGTCTGTGAAATGCCACAATGTATCAGTAATCAGAACAAGCCTGGCACGGCCCAGCAGGTCCCACACGGTAAACACAAGCTGAGCCTTATCACAGCTGTGAGTTTGGGTTACAGCAGAGGCCCTTTGTCTTTTTCTTTTTTCTTTCTTTTGTTCTCGGCTGAGCTGCAGAGGGCCCCTCTGAAATGACTGCACCTCGTGAGAAGCGTGTTTGCGTGGGTTCTCTCCGGGTACTCCGGCTTCCTCCCACCGTCCAAAGACATGCAACTTGTGGGGATAGGTTAATTGGATAATCCTAATTGCCACTAGGTGTGAATGTGAGTGCGAATGGTTGTGTGTCCCTATGTGTTAGCCCTGCGACAGACTGGCGACCTGTCCAGGGTGTACCCTGCCTCTCGCCCTATGACAGCTGGGATAGGCTCCAGCGCCCCCCGCGACCCTGAAAAGGATAAGCGGAAGCGAATGGATGGATGGATGGATATATGCACGGAGGTGAAGACTGTTGCAGAGATTACATCTTCTCATATCAAAAATGCTGAAAAGGTCACACTGATGGATTTTGGAGTTTCTCTCGTTGTGGTTTCTTTACAGATGATCTCTAATCTACGCTTCGTATGGCTGCAAGTGAGCCTGCAAGCAAGAGCTTTTATTTGTAGTCGGGGAATTAAGCAGTATTTCTCTCGTAACAACATTGTCCTTAGTGACAGCTTACATCTGTGAGCATTAAGTAGTCGATGTACGGTGATTTGCAGCATAATAAAATGGTCTATTCAGAGGAAGTTAGCTGCCTATAACAAAACACCACACTTCAATTCATCTGTTCCATCTGTTAGCAGTTTTGCAAAGTAGAGGTCACAGACTTCATCTTGGCATACTTATCCTTTTTAGGTAGCGGTGCAGCTATTTAATGAAAAGTCTGAGGGCTCATTGTGAGGTTTGATCCATTTAACAAGAGTAGCTGCGGATCCTCTGATAACAAAGAAGAGACAACAAATTGAACTTCGAGGAGTATCACATGAAGCAGGAAATCATTCCAAAGTTGCGATATCGTTGACTTTGTTCCACTTAACTCACTCTGTCACATAAATCAGTAACTAACAGCATCAGAGGCCTATATTTAAAGTCCAGCTCTTTGTTGCAGTGCCACCCTCTGGCCTTTCCTTGTATGTTCTGCATTTGAAACTAAATCTTTGCCATATGGAAGTGATCTTTAATCTTTGAGGCTCTCCCTCCAAGCCAGCAAGCTAAGCTCAGGAGAAGCTGGGCCATCGTGTCATGAGGATGAGGAAAATGTTGCAAATGATATTAGTATATTAGCTGTAAGCATTTAAGAGAACTATGTGACCTCGCTAAACCCAACACATGAAATTCATTCACCGAGAATAATGGATCTCTGTCCAGGCAGGAATGCCGGTTGCCGAAGCGCTCGTGGCTGGAACTTTAAGCTGAATTACGAAACTGTGATTTCATGTTCAGCCTCAATAATTGATGGCCCTCTCAAGCTTGTTTGAAAGTTGCTGCTTCCTTCCCCCCGTAGTGATTCATATCTATAATCTCTGGGTACAGAGGTTGTAATCCTGACTTGTTAAGGGGTGAAAGGTGATATCAAGCCTCAGGCTAAAAAAATGGTGAAGCTGTTTTAAAATAACTGGAAAGAACTCAAACTGGAATCCCCACTATACACCCAGCAGCAATGTATTTTTAACACACCCTCTCTCAAATCTGCACTGCTCCATCTCCCGCTAACATCTGCGATGGGAGTCAAATCTGATGTGGGTGAGCTTTTGATAAAGGAAGGATGCTTCTGGACACCCACCGGGGTCCTTCACGTCTTTCTATGCAGCAGGATGTGTGACTAAGGAGCGGCTCTGTGGTCTCCCTGGGCAGGCCGCCTGCAGGAAGATGGCAGAGAAGAGTTTCTCATATTCTCTTTCAAGAAGTGTGCATTAATAAATGGTGCCAAGCAGTTCTGGATTTTATAGCGTGGCATAGTTAAAGTGCAGGGCGCTGTCCTCGTTTTCTGAAGTGTGAACTGCTGTGGAGTACGGAAATGTCTAGAGTGTCTCCTCCAGGTTTTTGGTTGTACTTCAAATGCCATGTCAGCAAATGTGGCCAGTATAAAAGCTCCCTCTTATCTCCCAACAAGAATCCCCATGCCATGTACAGAACTGCATCACTTGCAATCCTGTTGATCTTTGTGGGGCATTTTCAGGCATTTTAGGTGACATTTCTACACCAGAGGTTTAGCTGTTTGTTTATGCTGCAGCAGAGTTGGGATTCACAGTCTTCTTTCACTTGCAGCCCCTTTTAAATAAAACTGTGAGCCTGTTTACACTTTTTAAATGCATCTTTTGAGCGCTGCGCACAGTGTCATCAGCAAGCACTCGATTTGTTTAGCTCGAACTAGCAATGAAAACAAAATGTTTGAAGTACTAATATACATGTACCGGTAGTTCTAACTGCTGACAGTTCTTGAGAGAACTTCTGGACTGATTACTCATGTTGAGCCAATCATATGTAAGATTTGCCCACTCACCAAAATTATGCTAAAACTTCCAGGCTGAACCTTACACTTGGTGGTGTAGCATTAATCCAGATTACTTGTCTTTTTGAAATGCATTGGCCTCGATAGAGGATATTTTCTTCTAGTTTTTTTTTTTATATATATATAATTTAGAGACTGAAGTTGTCACATTGTGCAATAAATTAAATGAGGTGTAAAACTGAAGTCATGCAAAAGAAAAAATGTTGAATTCACTACACAGAATGTTCAGAACTCGCAGCAACCCAAAACTACAGGGAACAAAGACTTTATATATTTGTATATTTTTATTTTCCTCTCCATCATGATGGAATTTCTTGTGGTATCCCAACCTGTAATGTCAGGATGCTATACGTGACAAGACTTGAAACTTGAAACATGTGGTGAAAGGATGGAGAAGGCAAAGATTTTGCTGTTAAACTTTTTTCTTTTTTTTTTTTACAATTTTAATCACAGGCTTGTTTTAGTCAAAGCAATGACAGATTTGTGTCATTTTGGCCCACCAGAGGCCCTGATTGTAGCTTAACCATTCCCGCATGTGAGGAATGTACTGCTCTATCACACAAAATCACACTAAGCGCTGTACTTCCTTCTCTTTCCCTGCAGGATGACATGAGCGACTCTCTGCGAGACTACACCAACCTCCCCGAAGCGGCACCTCTGCTCACGATCCTGGACATGTCGGCCCGTGCTAAGTACGTTCGCGATGTGGAGGAGATCACGCCGGCCGTGGTGGAGCAGTTTGTCGGCGACTTCCTGGCCGAAAAGCTCAAACCGGAGCCCATCTAAAGAGACTGTCCACGTATAAACTGGACCTATTACATGGGACTCACGCCATCATCCATCCCTGACCTATTGCTACACCCCACAGTTTCCAGGCTCCCACTCTCTCTCCCAGCTACAATCCTGACTGTTAGAGAGATGTCTCACTTTTTACTGGCATTTTAGCATTTTTATTTTAGATGTGTTCCTCTTTCATGGAGTCCCCTCTTTCTCCTGTGGTGCCTTGCATTGACTATAGTCCATACAGTAATATATATGGAGATTCTGTTGTCTTCTTTTTTTTTTTTTTCCTCAGAAAAATTTTTTTTTTATTCTCTCATGGTGGCATTTCTAGAGAAAACGGAGAATTACCCAGTGGACCTACTTATACAGCCAATCTTTTGCTTTCTGTTTTGTCTGCAAGATTTGTTACTTTTGTTTTCTGAATGAAGTTAAGAAAGAATAAATAAAATAATCTTTTTTTCTTCACAGTTGTATTTCACCTGTAGTGCAGATGTGCTAAACTTGAGTTGGATGTAGCTGTACGCCTTCTTGGCCCTATTTAAATAAATAAATATCCCACAGTTTGACAGGTGCACATACAGTAAAGAGCATGTTCTACTTGCTTGTGACAGACCAGTGACTGATGTTTTAACCCCCCTGTCTTCTTGTGTCATGACATGAGTGAAAGTCATCTCTAGTCAGTTCTCATCTCAAAGTCATTATGAGGACTTTCTGTGAAGGTCCCCCTAATGGAAAAAGTCCAGTTTTTTGTTTTTTTTCTAGAGGCACAAAAATGGCTTTTTTTTTTCTTTTTCTTTTTTGAAAAGTTGAATGTATAAATCCCTTTTATATCCTGCTACCTTAGTCATAGCTTCTCACACCAATTAAACATTCACTGGCAAGCACAAGAGTTTTGTTCCTGCTAAGTTTTATCAATAAAGTTAGCTCTTGAATATGGAAAAGACACACAGTGCAGTGACGCTCCAGTTCCTTTCTCAGAAGTTTAAACTGTGTGGGCTCAAATGACAAACTCAATGTTGCATTTATTATGGGAGAGTCTGTACCTCGACTCTGCTGATGCACTAAAATCTCAGGTGGAATAGAAACTTCTGACCTTGAGCTGTACTGGTAAGCAGGGTAAATGTCTGCACTTTTGCATAAACAATATAGCTGCTAATAAAAAAACATTTTTTTCCATTTGTTTAATAAGAGCAGACATCTGGTTAAGGCTCCAACAGAAAACTATCAGAAGGGAAGAAATAGCTGCTTTTCTTTTTTTGCTTACCTTCCAGCACAAGGTTTATTATGAACTTAAAAGTATTTGATGCAATCTTGATTAACACATACAGCAAAGCTTGTGTGTGGGGGGGAAAAAGTTGCAGTATTACAGAAATTTGATGTATTTTGTTGCTAATACAAATATTTAAATTAAAGCGCACCTTTAAAATTTCCATGAATATGAGGAACTGAGGGTAGTTGTTTTAAGGAACTCACCAAAAATTCTTTGACCTTTCAACTGTATTCATCATAATAATTCAAACTTCCTTTTAACAGGAAGAGACCTCCAACAGAACCACATTCAGAGACTCATTTGGGGGTAAAACAGAAAAAACAGGAGCATGGAGAGGAGTTAATGATGTGAATTAATGGCATGTATACTGATGAAGTGAGGCGAGTGGAGACAACATGCTCAGTACAGCAAGGAAAGTTATCTGCCTGAGCCAGTAGTTTCATAACTGAGGGATGCTTCAGTCACCTAATCCAGATTTATCTCTAAGGTTTATCTGTAGATAATGCTTTATTTTTGGTTTTGGTTTTTTGCAGTGAAAGAAAACAACACATTCAAATTCACATAAATCATAAACACAGTTTGCAAATTTACTGTTAAGAGTATTATATGGGACACTCTGTTCAGTCCGATATTTAATAGAAGCATCATGGAAACTGTCTCTCAGCTTTACATTGATGTTTCTTTCCAGATGTTTGCAGTAGTTTTAAGAGTTGCTTCCTGCCCTCAAACAGAAGAATGCTAGCTGCCATGGCAGAATTCAAGCTGTCCACATCAGGAACAACGGGAATAAAGAGCCTGTGGCCGTCAGTTTTCTCTGCCAACTGGACTGCTTCTAGACTCAAACCATTCGTCTCACCACCTATCACAAGAGCAGTTGGGCTTTGAGCCCAACTGTCATAGTACAGCTTAGTGTCCACTCTGGGGAGTGAAAGTCCCTCATGTTCAGAGTCCGAATCAGAATCGTAATCCTCGTACTCCATGTTTTTGCGGTTGGGTCTTGAGCTGACCCAGCCGTAATCTCCAGCTTTGGAGGGTTCAGGAGACACATTAACCTCTACTTCTCTACTTCTGTCAGGGCTGCCACTGCTGTCGGCCACGTGGACAGTCACGGGTTTAGGGAGATGGTTTTCAACATCATCCCAGTCAAGGCTGGGATAGATGGGAAGGCGGAAATGGGCGCCCATTGCTGCACGGAGAACTTTAGGCTCCCAAACATCCACACAACCTGTTTGAAAAAAATGCAAAGTTCCCAAAATTCAAAGGAAGGTTTCACAGGATTATTAATTTGATCTCTAATAGTTACTGTAAACCTACCCTTTGTGAGGAGGGCATTATGACAGCCAGCAGCAGCAGCACATCGCAGCATAGTCCCGAGATTCCCAGGATCCCGGATGTTGTCACATATCAGAGACAAATGCACTGAGTGACCTTTACTTGCAAAGTTTAACCGTGCCGGATCTGGGCGAGAAAATATCGCTGCAGAAGAAGAGGTCAGCGTCAGAAATAATTGAGATATTAGTGCTTCATCATGAGCCAAAAAAGAAAATCTGACCCTTACCGATCACTCCCTGTGGGGCTACAACGTCAGACCAGAGCTTGATGTCCTCAAACTTGACTTTCACTAGTGTGGCCCTTCTCAGCTTATCTAAGGGCAGCTCTCTGAGTCGATCCACCGTGCTGAAGAACACAGTCTGTGGTTTAGCACCAGCATCCAGGGCGTCACAGATCAAACGCCTGCCTTCAAGAAGGATTTTACCTTGGTGGTCCCGAAATGTCCTGGAACGAGCCACACTCACTAACCTCCTAGAGCAGAGACGTGGAGAAAGAGGAGGAGAAGGAAGGAATGGCTTCAGAAGGATGAGGACAGCTACAAAATCTATGTCTACCTTGAGACAAGATGTTGATGGAGGCCCACATGCACCCGGGTGTCCTGACATACATACTGCAGTTCTTGACCTTCTCATAAAATTACACAGTTCCTCTCTTGGCACCCTATCATATCCTTTCTCTAGATCCACAAAGTTACAGTCCGACTACTTCTGACCATCTCAATATTTCTCCATCAGTTCTCTCAAAGCAAACATCACATTTGTACTTCTCTTTCTCACTCACTGACCATCACCTCTCTCGTTAATTAAGCTTCAAAAACTCTTTCCCACATCTCCATGGTATGGCTCATCAGCTTTATCTCTCTGTGGTTGCTACATCTCGGCACATCAACTTTGTTCTTGCTGTATTCCTAATAATTGTGCTTTTGTTTTGTATGCCAGGGCCCATGGCCTCTGGCTCAATCACCTCTGCTACTGCCCTCACTCGGTGAGACTTACGCCAGTCTTTTATCTCCAGGCGAAGCCCTCTCATAGCGCAGTCCGTCCACTTCATTCTTTGTCACAGTAAAAGCATGTTTCGTAGCTGACTGCTCATCAGTCCTCGTCCTGACAGAGTTTCTCTCTTCGTGATGCTGTGTACCTGCAGATATGATTCTTCCCTTGGTCTCCCTCTGGATCTTTGGCTCGTCTGACTGAATCTGAGGCACCTTTACGACTTTTCCCGTCTCGTTTTCAGGAAACAGCACTCTGACAGGTTTCCTCCTCAGTCCGCGTACATACCGTTTTGATTCCACAGTGACACAGCTCCTGGTTGTTAGGAAAGCATGTCGCTCTATCATGGAAATCAGGCAGATCATGCTTCTTGAGTACGCTGCCATTTTGCCTGCTTTCTTCTTCTCTCATCTGTCAGGATGTTTCAAAAATACAAGCTAACCCGCCTAGCGCCACCAGTTTTTAATAGCTGATATTGCGTTTACAAATTAAAAATAAACCAAACACATTTGGTGGCGTTATTAATGTAATTATTTAATAACATAATGTGTTACAAATTGTTAAACGGGTCCTATAGTAGCCGTTTTTTTTGTTTTGTTTTTTACATTTATTGATGCTTCAAACTTGACGCTTGATCATAATCTCGCGAGAAAACAATGACACATTGGTCAAACCATTAACCTGAGCAGTTAGGGGGGGATTGTGAATTTTATACATTGTACTTTAACGTACAGTCGCCGTTCTTTGCTTTAATACTAGAGCAGCACTAATAATAACGACAGGTGGTGTAACACATTATCCAGCGTTTTTTTTTTTTTTCGTTTTGTAGTTTTACTTGCAAATACCCGGTATGTGTTCATTGGTGATTACCAGTCGAGCACAGAAAAATCGATACGACCACAGGTAGCACGGCTGTCAACAAATATGGCTTTGAGACGAGCGTTGCATTTTGTTTTCAAAGTTGGTGACAGGGCTAAAACTGCCACCTTTTACAGAGATGTTCTAGGTATGAAGGTAAGTTTTCTGAGCTGCATTTAAATGTAGGATTGGACTGAAGCCGCCGTTGACTAGCAGCTTTTGCTGATGTCGGATAATTTCAGGGTTGCACAACCTGAGCAAATTTCCGTAGTTATCATTGTATAAGTGGAAGTGGACATCACTGAATTGTAATGTTCTCACTACTTGTTATTTATTTCAGATTTTAAGACACGAAGAGTTTGAGGAAGGCTGCAAGGCAACTTGTAATGGGTATATAAGACACAACTCCAGTTGAATCTTGAGCTCAGTATAATGCTAAATAAAAGTCCTGTGGGGGAAAAAGTATTTGCCACCTTCCTGTTACACTTTCATGTTTCAGATCAAGGTCAAACAAATCAAGGCTTAGTGAAACGATGTATTGCCCCCTAAACCTAATAACTGGTTATGCCACCTTTACGAACTGTAATCAAGCGTTTAAGATAACGGTCAAAAGGTCTTTCACGTCACTGTGGAGGAATTCTGACCAACTCTTCTTTTCAGAATTGTTTGAACTCAGCCACAATGGATGGTTTTCCCACATGGACAAAACGCTTTAAGGTCTGGACTCTCTCCCTCCTTTTTTAAGCCATTCAGAGATAGACTTGCTAGGGTGTTTTGGTCTGTTTCTTATTGTTGAATCATGAACACTGACCTTAAATGAGGCAAGGGAAACGTGCAGTTCTTTATTTATTTTTTTTATAATTGAAGTCTTTATTTGTTTTTAACATTTCACAACACAAAAACAAACAAAACAACCAACAAACAACAACAGAAAATATATATATATAAAAAATATAATAATAATAATAATAAAAAAAATTAAAAAATTAAAAAAACTCAAATCAGTTAACTCAAATCTTTAAGTCATTCCCTTACTGAGTGCCTACACAAACAAACAGTGCAGCAAGCGTACAACATGACTAAAGATAATTGCCCTGACCAAATAAGTTCCAACCATCTCAGCCAAAAACACGTCCCCACGATTCGTCAAAACCCTCCCTATCATCATTAATCCTAGCCAAGAGCTTTTCATACGACACCATTTTCAGCATAGTTTCTTTCCACCTATTATATTCTGGTGGAGACGGTTCCTTCCATACACTGAGAATAACTCGAGCCGCTGCGATCACCCCCACCTTTATAACCACAAAGTCATATTTTGAAACCCCAGGTAATACTGACCGATCCCCTAATAAGCACAGTCTTGGTGACAGGGGTATCATCAAACCAATCCACCTTCCTATTTTGTCCAATACTTTTTGCCAAAAGGGATAAACTTTCCCACATTCCCAAATAGCATGTATAAATGTCCCTGGATCTGAACTACATTTCCAGCATACATTACTGGGACTAATTCCCATTCTATAAAGTTTGGATGGAGTGACGTACCACCTGTGTATTAATTTATACTGAGTAAATTTACCCCTGGCCTCTCTTATATATTTATCAGAGAATGACAAAATTCTGCGCCAGTCTTCTTTAGAAATTGCACAACCCAGATCCCTCTGCCATATAACCCTCAAGTTTTCACATATCTCTTTTTTTGGATTGTTAAACAGTTTGTAGAAAACCGCCGCCCTATGTGCTGTACTGGACAATTCTAAAAACTCCACCACCATATTCGAGCTTTGAGCAAATTTTCCTTTGGTAACACAATCCCTTATTTGTAAATATTTCCAAAAATTATTTTCTCTTGTCAAACTTTATTTTCGGGTTATTTCAGCAAATGACATAAACACTCCCCCTGAGTAAAGATCACTTATCCTGCGTATGCCTTTGACAAGCCATTCCTTCCAGAACACAGTTTTCCGCCCAATCCTTACAGCAATATTGTTCCATAGCGAGGCATAAGGTTGTCTTAGATGAGATGCTCCACACAACTTGTGCACCTCCACCCAGACAGCTTTGGAATACCTGAGCACTGGGTTATTATGAGAGTCTTGTCCATTAGTTGCCGCGCCCTGCGAGAGAACATCCAAAGGTGTGAAGGGGCTCGCTAGTTCCTGTTCGATCTTCATCCAGCTCAGCTCAGAGCCCGATCCTGTCCAGTATTTGGCCAGTCTTGACAATTCAAAAGCTAAATTATACAACTTCACATTTGGGAGGGCCATTCCCCCAATGTCTTCAGAGGCCCACATTTTCTTTATATTCACTCTCGGCTTCTTGTTATTCCACAAAAAATCTTTGATTAACTTCTCAATTCGACCAAATATGTGCAAAGGAATCCGTACAGGTAACATCATGGAAACATAATTGAACTGTGGGACCACCATCATTTTAATCACATTAATTTTACCCCATAGTGTAAGATTCAATTTACCCCATTTATCCAGATTTGTTTTTATCTTTAGGAGGAGAGGTTCCACATTTGAAAGCATAATATCCTCCAAGTCGGGTTTTAATAATATTCCTAAATACTTCATACCTGAAGGTGAGTACTTAAAATTGAATGGAGTAACGCATCCAGAATGACATGATGCTGACAATGGCATGCCCTCTGACTTGTCCCAGTTTATCTTATAACCTGACAACCCTGAAAATGACTCAACACACGTGAGTAGCGCTGGTAGAGACTGCATGGGATCCGTCAATACTGCTAAGATGTCATCAGCATATAGAAACAACTTGTGTTCCATACCCCCTGCATGAACACCTCTGACACCCCTGTTTGCTCGAATAGCCAAGGCCAGCGGTTCCAGAAATATTGTAAAAAGCAACGGGGACAAAGGGCACCCCTGTCGGGTCCCGCGAGTAAGATGAAAAAACCCTGACACCAATCCATTTGTCAAAACCGCTGCCCTTGGACTTGCATATACAGTTTTGACCCAATTACAAAACCCAGGCCCAAACCCAAACCTTGCGAGGGTCGTCATAAGGAAGCCCCATTCCACCCGATCAAAGGCCTTCTCAGCATCTAGCGAGAAGGCCGCAACCGGGGTTAGGTTAGATTCGCTTCTGTGCATGAGATGAAGAAGTCTTCTAATGTTATCACCTGAGGACCTATTTTTAATAAAGCCAACCTGGTCACCATTAATGATATCTGGTAATATTTGATCCAGGCGGGAGGCCAAAACCTTTGTCAAAATTTTGCAATCAACGCCCAAAAGGCTTACAGGCCGGTAATTTGCTGGGTCCGACAGATCCGTATCCTTTTTAGGAATAAGGGAGATCAGTGCTTCATTAAACGTACTCGGCAAGGAACCTATCTCCAATGCCTCAAGGTAAACTTTATGCAGGACTGGGGCTAAAATATCGATATATTTCTTATAATACTCAATCGGGAAGCCATCCAAGCCTGGCGATTTCCCATTCTTCATTAATAAGATCGCAGCCCTGACCTCTTCTTCCGTTATAGGCTCATCCAGTCTCGTTTTCTGTTCCCCAGAGAGAGTAGGTAATTGTAGACCTGAAAAAAATGTCTCCACCTCCCCTTCATCAACCGCACCAGCAGACGCATACAAATCTTGATAAAATGATTGGAAAACTGAATTTATTTCCTTCGATGAGGTTATCACTTGGCCGTCCTTCTTAATCATAGATATATTATTCAAATTATCTTGCTGCTTCAGTTGTCTTGCCAATAGTCTTCCACTCTTTTCGCCACCTTCATAAAATTTTGTTTTGAGCCTAAATAAGGCATATTCCGCCTTTTTGTTATAAATGTCATTCAACTGGTATTTTAATTTACATATAGTCTGATATTTATAATTTGAATATTGACTCGCTAAGTCCTTCTCCAACTCCCGTATTTCTTTATCCAAGGTTTCTACCCGTTCTAGATCACTTTTCTTAACTTTTGATGCGTATGCAATCATCTTTCCTCTTATATATGCTTTAGACGCTTCCCAAACTGTGGCTACTTTGTCTGTGGAACCCATATTGATTTCGAAAAAAATTTTGAGATCCTTTGTTAACTCCTCACTAAAACTCTTGTTCTGCAACAACATCGTGTTAAGCCTCCAGCGGCCCCTCTTCGTTCTATCCGTGTTCAAGTCAATTTGCAACTCTACTGTGGCATGATCACTAATAGCAATGGCACCAATCTCACAGTCTACGACTGACTCGACCAGAGACTTTGATATTAGGCGAAATCTATCCTCGAATATGTTTTATGACAGTTGGAGTAAAACGTGTATTCCCTTGAACTGGGATTAACTAACCTCCAAATGTCCGTTAAGCAAAGATCCTCTGTCAGTAAATGAACAGCCTCTCTGTCCCTGGGTGTAGACGTACCCCTGGGATTACTCTTATCAATTATCCCATCCATCACCTGGTTGAAATCCCCAGCCAATATCACGTGCAGTTCTTTATTAAATGTTGTTCTGGGTTCTTTAGTGACTAGATTAGTTGTTAATGCACTCCTGGAGGAATTTTGGTAGGTTGGCCACTAATGGAAAGGTTCACAACTGTTTAAAGTTTTCTCCATTTGTGGATAATGGCTCTCACCACGATTTACTGGAGTCCCAAATCCATACAAAGGGCCTTGTAATGCTTTCCAGACTGATAGTTCAGTTAGTGACTAACACTATCAGTGACTTTTTTTCAAATGTGTTTCTTTAGATCATGGCATGATGTGTTTCTTTTAGATATCTTTCAGCCAGGTTCTGTTAGGTCTGTCTCATTTTTTTAAAAACATTGCCAGTGGATATTTTTTTTAATTCACTCAGGTTATCTTTGACTAATATTAAAATTTGTTTGATGGTCTAATAAATATCACTGTAACAAACATGCAAAACATACAAAATCAGGAAGAGGGCAAATATCTTTTCACAGGACAATGCAGATGTTGATACACTAGTGGTAAACCTGCCTTCACCCCCTACCCATACAGCCCTTATGATGGGAAATGGAGCAAGACAATGGTTGGCTTTGGTCCAGAGGATGACCATTTTGTTGCTGAACTGACCTACAACTATGGTGTGGGAGAATATAAACTTGGCAATGACTTCTTGGTGGGTGAGAGTTTGTTTTCACATTGCATGCAGGAAAAGATTGTCTTGTTATTCAGTGTACAGTGGCAATAATGGGATATTTGTACGTGTGTTTTCATGTTAGGGGATCACTCTGCAGTCGAGCCAAGCTGTAAGCAATGCTAAATGTCTCGGGTGGCCTCTCACTGAGGTGGGAGAGGCTCTGTATCTGACTCAGGCTCCTGGAGGCTATCCTTTCTATCTGGTGGACAAAGAGCAACCTCATAATGGTGAGTGTCACACAAGTCAAATCTGCCTGCTCCTTCTTTAGCTGCTTCTTCTTTTTCTTGGGTTTCTAGCAGGCTGGATGCATATTGTTTTTTTGGGGGGGGTGTTGCTTCATAAACCTCCATCAAGGATCAAATCCTTACATGCAGTCTGGTATCCACAAACTTAAATTAATACTTTGTAACTTCATATTGATCAGAGTTCAATATTGACTTTAGAGAAAAGGCTGTAATATCCATTCTTGACAGTTCTGATCGCGTAGGGTTTCTCTCCATGACATAGTTGGAGCGATCTATCAAAACCTGCTTACGAGTTTCCATCTCCTCACATGTGCCACACATGTTCCACATATGGATGCTTCCTCACTAGTGACAGCTGTTAAATCTGTCTCTGACCCTGTATGAAAAAAGGCATATGATCACTGAGCTGGAATCAGAATCAACAGAATTAACAGAATTAATCAATTATGTGGAAAAAGTGTAAGCAGGTGCTGGGTAAGAATTTTAAGGAGACCCAGATGTCTAAAGTATAGCAACTCAATTCTGAATCTTATTTCTTTTAAGGGTTTATTTGTGCACATCCAGAGTCACTTTCCAGCAGTCATAAAGCGTGATTATCTAAACACGGATGATCTGATATCGTCGTGTTGGTGTTGTTCCTGGAACAACATAGTAAATGTTGTTTCAGGATCAACATTGCAAGTGACCAATCACATTGTTGTGACGTTATTCTTTGGCGCGCCAAGCCATTCGTGCACTTATGAAATTCTGCTTAGCGTTTATTAAAGGGTCAGGGCCCGTTGATCGGCGGACAGAGGCGATTTCTCGCAGCTTAAGTACAGTTTTTTGTTTTACGGCGGTTTTTCCCAAAGTCGCAAAAGTATGACGTCACAACATTCTGATTGGTCACTTGCAATGTTGATCCTGGAACAACATTTACTATGTTGATCTGGGAACAACACCAACACGACGATATCAGATCGTGCGGTCAAATAAGTCAAAAGATATAGACCAAAAACAAATGCCCATTGCGGAGGACATAAATTAATAGGCTGGTTCTCAGGAGTGTATATATTTATTTTTTCATATGCAGCCGATGACACACAAATGTAGTGTGTTCACACAGTGGTTTGATCCTCTGCATGTATCCTTAGCGCAAGATACTGAACCCTGAGTTGCCCCGGTGTGTGTGTCTGTGTGTGTGTGAGAGAGGTTAAAAGAGACAATTTTATGAATATGTGTGTTTATGGCTGAATGCAGCTTGCAGTAAAAAAGTGCTGTAAGTGCCCAAATAGAGTAGAAAAGGACTACAGAAGTACCCATCTGTTAACCTGTTAACCACTTACTTTCTGTAATCTGTTCCCAGACCCTGTGCAGAAGGTTTGTCTCGGGGTATCAGACCTCCAAAGATCGACCCACTACTGGTCCACACTCTTGGGGATGAAAGTGATGGACAAAAATGAGGAAAAGAAGACGGTGCTCATGGGATTTGCAGACAGTCAAGTGAGTCAAAGAAATTAAATGTTAAACCCTAAGATAAGTTTAAAATAGTTCTATTGTTGAAGTTTGAATTGTATGTTTTGCGGTTTATGTTGATGCCTGAGTAATATGTGTCAAATTCTTTGTAGTGCAAACTGGAGCTTCAGGACATTGGAGGGATGGTTGACCATGGAACAGCTTTTGGGAGAATAGCGTTTTCATGCCCGCGGGAGCAAGTAAATTATTATTTTCTAAACGGCTAATGTCAACTTGCAGATAAACTATTTCCAACAACATTATAATGAGATATTATTATGCTCCTCAGCTGCCGGTTATTGAAGCCTTGATGAAAAAGGAAAATCAGAAAATTCTCACCCCATTGGTCAGCTTGGACACTCCTGGAAAAGCTACAGTAGAAGTGGTTATTTTGGCTGACCCTGTAAGCACGTTCCCAAAATAATGCTGAAATGATGTCAGATTCATTAAGTTAACAATATTAAACGTAAAATGTTTGCTTTAGGATGGCCATGAGATTTGTTTTGTGGGAGATGAGGCCTTTAGGCAGCTTTCCATGTTGGATCCCAAAGGGAATGAATTCCTTGATAAGGTTGGTGTTACTATAACACATAGCCCTCAAATGCTTATCCAGCATGTGTCAGATATTCACTGTGCTTGTCATCCTTTTAACACTTTTCAGGCTATGGCTGAAGATAAAAGTGATGAATGGTTTGCCAAACACAACAAACAGAAGACTGCTGCATGAGATGGAGCAGCCGACCTGTCAGTTTTCATCAGTTAATGAGGATGAGATGCCGCGCAACGCACCTGTAGCATAGATCTGCCTTAGGCTGGCAGCGTAAGATTAATTTTGTGTTATGTAAAAACATTTGTGCCCTGAGATGATGTAATGGACCACTTGTTATGGATTTTTTTTCCCAATAAATATTCTTCCTAAAAGCAAGGCTGAGTGATGGGCAAAAAACATTAAGTTAGTTTTATCTATAAAAGACATTTCAATGTGATCTTAATTTTAGGCGAAAAGGGGACACTGAGAGAAGTTGGGGCCAACTTAATCTCATAATAAAGTATCACCAGGACTTCATAGCTTAAATTTGGTCTTGCACCTCTACTGAGTCTCCACCAACCTTATGTGCAAATTCCTCTTACAGCTGTAGTAAAACAACATGTTTGCACAGTTCCTAACTGATTTTGTGGTAATTATAAAACACAGATTACTCAATGGGCCCACCATGTACAGGCTCTATGGGCTTTTGGTCTTATCCTAGAAATATGACATATCCAATAACGAGCCACAAAACAACAGAAATGAGGCGCAAAAAGATATGTACAAGGACTGCAAAGACATAAGATGGATACACTCAGATGCAAAAATGACCAAATGACATCTGCATGGTCTGTGGTTCTCTTTTTCAGTTCTGTTGTTTGTGCACATGAACCTGTTGTTTTATATTCTATCCATGTCTACCTGTATTTAGAAAATATGTGCCATATACCATAATAGAAAATAAAGGTTTTATATGTATAATTAAGGAGAAGTTGCCTGATTTTGTATGTTCTTCCTCATAAGTTGAAGCATTTTGCATATGCAAACAATCAAATGACCAAACGGCTGGCAGGTGCAGGGATGTTACCTGAGAATGTAGAAATACGTTTTTTCCCTAAGGGGGATGGCAGAGGAGACTTGTGTGCACAATGGGAATAAACTGTTTATTTGGTTTTTGTAAAACTGATGTATGACTGGAATAAAGGTTGCGCATTTTATTTTCGTGCTTGTTTATGGATTAGTTTAAAGTTGGTGTGAACCGCTGAATAATGTGTGACTGTTTAGTTAAAGATTACTTGCTTAGACAGCGTTACTGGCCAATCCCCAGCTCCGCTCCCACCACTGCGCTCCACCGAGCTGCCAGCTGAGCACGGCGAGCCGGAGAACAGTGTTTACTAAGCTCTGAGTCAACTGTCACATGAAACTGCTCTGTCTGCAGCGTTACACTGCGCTGCGACAGCTCGGTGTTGCGAATATGTCAGGGTAAGTGAGTTTTGTAAGAGAGTGAGGCCAAAAAGACCAAAGACGACCAACAGGCGCAAAAAAGAGTGCCAACTGGCAGTTCCGCTAAGTTAGCGGTAGCGTTAGCGTGCTACAGTGCTAGCCCAGATTTGCTTAAGATTTTTGGATGACGCGGCGGCAAATTTCGTTAACTGTTTAGTGCTGGGTTACTGGCTAATGCTGCTGCTGCTTGGCAGTGAGTGTTTCTCACTGGCGGCTTGGTAATGGGAAACAAGTTTTAGTAGAGGTTTGTGTTTTCTTTACACTGTTAGCTGAGCGATAAAGTTTAGCTAGGTGCTGTTTCGTGGTCGGTTTGTAATTACACTGTAGTTAATTAGAGGTGTTAGCTCTGTGAGGCTAGCTGTTAACGTTTTCCACAACGAACGGTTGTTAACTTGTGTAGGAAGTGTTGCCTCAGCTAATTACAGTTATAGCAACTATTTGCAAGCAGTCGGTGTCACCTATCAGTAGTGAGTGGCACCTGGATATTGTGCTTAAGTACATCTCTTCCTCTTTGACAGCAGCTGAGAGAAGATAAGGAGCAGCCAGACTCATGTCCCAAGATTTGGGTGTGAACAACTAGAGACACAATGTCTCTCCTGCTGATATCATTATTTTTAATCTTTTTGCTGGCTATTGGTGTGCTGTGTGCCATTTTCAGGTGAGGAATGTGTGGAAATTTCTACAGTACAGCGATCATTGTATGGTTTAAACTGCAAGCACTGCTTAATAGATGTTTCCTTGCTCTCCTCATTTAAAGTAGCACATTTTCCCGCTGTTCTAGGTGGCTCATATGTACCCTGGCTGTGCGATTCTTCCAAACTACCCTCAATGCTCATCTGAAGATTAAATCAGTAGGATTTTTTTCTGTCCAAGGAGTCAGTATCCAGTTTCACCCCCAGCATACTTTGGTAGGACACGTTTTTGTTTACATGACATTTGTGTAGTCGGCACATGCTAAACAACCACTCCCATGTCAATGGTTCACTTCTGAGTTTGTGTACTTTACCATCTATCAAATGTATTTTTTTTATCTTGCTGTAATTCTGTGAATGGCAGGAAATTGACAGGATATGGATTTCAAGTAAACTTCTAAACCAGGATTTACCGTAAGTAGCTTAATGTGTTGCCCAGATAGTCTGAGATAAAACAGTTAGCAGCAAATAATATCATAAGTTGTGTTTCAGGCGATACCTGGCATTCTGTGTTGGAGAAACCAGAGTCCGGTTTGACTTGCAAGCACCACTAAAACCTTTGGTGAAGCAGAGCCATGGAAAAAAGTCGGCGAAGATTTCTGTCAGCCCCAAAACGCTTCGATTCTTGTCACAAGTATGAAGGCTGGCGATAAGTTAACATTTCTTTTTATGCTTATTTGTACACAGTATCTCACTTCCTGTTTTGTATTTCCAGTTGCTGTCATTCCACATCAGCTCCATCAACGTGATGGTCCTAAACCTAGCACTGCCAGAATCTCTATGGCACATGACTGTTGCAGGTATCACCTTGTTACTTGACCACCAGAGTAAAAGGTATTATTTATTTTTGGTTTATAACTAATCTGACTGAATCAATAGTTTGTATTAGTTGTCCAAAATGAAATCCATGTTGAAAAATGTCTTTACAGGTTGGCATGGAACTTCTCGGTTGGACAACTAAGCAGTAAAGTGCTCAAAAGCAGTGAACTGGTGAGTGGAGTAACTGTCACTGAAATAGAAACAGGTGGTTGAATGTTTGTAAATGATGTGCTCTCCATTTTAGGACATATGTTTGGCTGAAGTGGCACTTAGCCTGTTGCTATCTGGAGATGTGAGTTTACCAGAGATGAAGCCAGGTTGTCTGTCCCTGAGTGTGAGGACTCTAATGGCAGAGCTGCACGAGGGGCTGTTCCTCAGTCAGCTCCAGCTTCCAGCAGTTTCCCACAAAGAGAAAGATCATGGTGCATTTGGTGAGTAACGTTTGACCTCTGAAATGGAAGCAATGATTTTTAAGTATAGTGTTTATCCATCACATTCATTTGCATTCCTTCTTTTCTCCAAATTGTAATCTATAGTACTGTGCAAAGGTCTTGAGCCACCTCTCATTTCTTTGTATGTTGCTTCCAAGGAGTGAGATTGTTGTAATTTTTCAAAGTGGTCTTGAGCAATACTTCTCCAGGCGTTCTGAAAGTATTTTAATGTTTTTTTTAATGGACATTGGCTGCTTGTTCCCTCATTTTCAGTCCAGTCCTTGTAAATGACCATTTTCAGAGGAATGTTTTTGCTGTTAAACCCCTTAACATTGATCATTCAAGCTTCTTTTTTTTAAAAGTGTTGTGTCTACACATTGCACACAACTTGGCAAAGAACCAGTTTTAAACTGTATCTTTAGGCGCTTTATTTGTTCCTTTTTTTTTTTTATTGACTCTACAAAAAATGCCAAACATGACACAGTTTGGCAAACATAAAATAGTATTTTTGCACTAACAAGGTGATTCCCAGACAGTTATTAGCCAAATATAATGAATATCTGTGCCTGGTGTGCAGTGCGTCCTTAAAAAAACATCTGATGAAACTGCACAGGTGGAGGGCAAATTAAAGTGTGAAGCCTAAAAAAAAAACTGATGAACAGTCTGGACAGACACAAAGGCACATCCCCCGTCTCTACAGACCTTAATAGTATTGTCGTATCATCTTGACAGAGAACAAAACACAAAACAACTAGTGTCCAAAGAAGAGTGTTGAATGTTCTTCCAGAAGCCTGGAGAAGTATTTCTAAAGACTACTGAAAGAAATTACTAGAAAGCTTCCCTAAGTGTTCAAGCTGTTTTGAAGAATAATGGTGGCTATACCAAATATTGACCTTCAAGCTTATTACATTTGTACAGACTCTGTTTTTTCCTTATGAATTGTATTTCCACGCAAGTTTGAACCTGTTTCAATAAATCACTCTACCTATTTCCCATTTTCCTACCAAAAAAATAAAGAAATTATGAATGACCCAAGACTTTTGCACAGTACAGTTTTATCCAACCACTGCAGTTAACTTTCAGTTTATTTCATTCTATTTTTCAAGTCTGATTTGTTGTACTGTTTTGCATTCATAGTTGTACCATCAAAGATGGTAAAGTCTTAATAATCTTTTTTTTAATGATATATTTATTGAATTGGGGGGAAGAACCCTTATGAAAATCACATTTTAAAACTATCTATCCTGCAATTAGTATTGTCAGGTGTTAGATGAATAAAGAACAGTGCCTTGGCTGTTGTACATCCACAGGACCTTCACTCTGTGCTGCCCTTCTTGTTGTTTTTTTCTGCCTTTGCATTTGCATTTGATCTTTTGCGTGTTCTAAAAGTGCCTGGACATTTTCCATCATCTGTGATATTTTTAGCTGTTCTGCTAACCAAAATGAAAACAAGGTCATATCATAGCTCTTCACTGGCCTCTGTGAGTGTTTGAAATGTCCTTAATGATAAAGTTTTACCAACACAGTCAAAGTAGGACTAAGTTATACATTCATTACAAAAACAGGAGAAAATGTTTGAAAAGCGTTTAAAGCAAGATGATTTTTTCTTCCGTTTCTTTATAGATGCACAGGTCTGTTAGGCCATTGAATCAGATGTTAAAAATAGCTTGCAGTTAAAAACACGAACATAAACATTGCACATACAGTTGAGGCTGGTGGTTCTGTCCATGTAAATAACTACTAACATTCTCACGAGCAAAAAAGAGGAAATGACACGTAACCATAGTATGTATTTTTATAAGAAACATATTTATAGATTAGTAGAAAATAATGCATTAAAGTTGTGTTGTTAGTGATTTAACTTCTCAGTATAATCCCAGGTTGCTCTGCCTTCATATGCAAAATCAGTTGCATTATTAAGAATCCACCTCCACTCTAACAGTTATAATATTAAGTGTAGTCTTAAACAACATGCATGTTACAGAATATTTGAAATCCCGTGGAATATGCACAATGTCAGAAAGTCAACACCTGCGTTTTATTAAAGGTTGAAGTGCTAATTTTGTCTTTCTAACTATGTCATAGATTTTTAAAATTCAAATGCCAGCTTGATAGGCTTGATATTTTTGATAATTCTTTACATAACACTCTAATTTAATTACTCAAATACTATTTCCTTTTAGAGAATGAAAATGATGATTTTATCCAGACTGAGACTGTGGAACGCTTTCATCAGCTGATTCCCCACAAGGTCAATGTGGAATTTGATAACACAAACATAACCCTGTCGATGCACAGCCAGAAACGGTGAGTCACCGTTTTACATCTAGCTGCGTATATACTGTGATCACAGTTTTGCATTAGTTTACTCTTTTAAATGATCTGTTGTTTCAGATATTTTATAACCCTATTTTCTTACTTGTACAGACACCTGAACTGGACTCTAAAGTCTTTAAAGGTCTGCTACGGACGTGACAACGAGCAGCTTCCTCTTAAAAGCTTCACTCCTGAGCTGAGCTTTCCCCAGAGCAGCTTGGAGC